TCTCGCCCGCTCTCTCCCTCCCTCTCTCTCCCCCTCCCTCCCTCTCCCTCCCTTTCCGTCCTTTTCCGTCCCTCCGAGCCTCCCTCCCTCTCCGGCCCTCTCCGTCCCTCTTCCTCCCGGTCCCTCCCTTTCTCTGCCCCTCTCCCTCGCTTGCTGCCTCTCTGCCCTCCAATCTTAAGAATAGCAATCTTTGTTCTTCACACGCCACGTGGCAGCGCGTAATAAGTTGACAGGAGGCTGAGAGGAGAGAATCTCATCCACACTAGATAAGCCGTTGCAGCTTCAAGTTCGCCCGCAAAAAAAGAAAAAGAAAAAAACACAAAAGAAAGAAAAAGTATAAGGAAATGTTCTATCATATGCCGCTTCTTTCACACTAAGAAAAAGAAGAGCCTGAGAGCACCGAACATTCTTTTTCATTATCTTTGCGTGTTTTGTTTTGGGAGTACTTTGGATCCCTCCAGAAAGAAGAGCCTGCAGCATCGATTTTGTTTTGTGTTGTGCGAGTACTCTGGATCCCTCCGATAGGTCCCTTGCTGTTTGGATCATTATTCCTCCTATCCTACGTGGCAGGGACAGCAATTATCTCCTGAAAATTGTGGGGGCTGGGAGGTGGTCACTGCCGTCGGCGAAAGGCGAGGGAAGGCGGGGAAAGGCGGGGTTACGTAAGAAGGGCCAGTTTGCTACCCGCCTTAACCGGAGCGAAAGGTCATTATTGTTGTATCTAGACTCAAAGTTGCCCTAAATACATACAACTGTAATGACCTGAACGTTGTATTCGGTCAAGATGGGCAGCGACAAGTCCGCTGGGGCCAATTCGCTACCTTGCTTTCTTTTCCCCCGAATACAGCGCACGGTCATCCTAGCTGTATTTAGACTGAAAGATACCGCAAATACATAATGACCGCACGTTGTATTCGCGGGAAAAAGGGTAGCGACTGGTCAGCTGGCCCGATTAGCTAGAGAGAGAAAGTGTTTATAGTCCTATAAATTCATCGTAACTGACAGGCAGCACCTAAACAAATTTAGTCCTAAAAATTCATCGTGACTGACATACAGCACGTAAACATTTGTTTAAGTTTGTTGTTAATCCTTTACATTTGTCTACTGAAATATTGTGTACGAGCGTTCCGTCTTTGTGTTTCCGGGCTCTTAAAGGAAAAGTAGACGTTCTCTCTCTCTCTCTCTCTCTCTCTCTCTCTCTCTCTCTCTCTCTCTCTCTCTCTCTCTCTCTCTCTCTCTCTCTGTGGGACATCAACATACACAAAACATAAAGATTGAGTTAGCTTGTTGCACTTGACTCCTAAGCTACCCGTCTGTGACATTGTTTCTAGTCTTCTAAATTCATCAACATATGAACTTGACTTTTGCATGGGGTTTCTTTTGTCTAGGGTTGAGACTTCTGATTTCCTGTGTTCTAGGTCCGAGGGCATAAAAAATGACGAAGTCGAAGGGAAACTCGTTGAGGATCAAGGACACTTCAGGGACCTCAACAAGTACTGGATGGCGCAGCCAGGGCGCCCCTGTTGATTTTGAGGGTGTGTTTGAAATCCCCACTTTGCACTACAACGCTGATACCGAGAAAACACCTACTATCCAGGCTCAGTTTGAAGTGACTGAATCGGAAGAAGACACTCTTGGTCCGGAGGAGGAAGAGGAAGTGGAGGAGGATGAGGAGGGTTAGGAGGATGAGGAGGGTGACGAGGGTGACTTTGGTAACGAGCGCGAGGAAGCAGTAGACGAGGGTGAAGAGGGTGACGAGGATGAGGAAGAAGGAGACGAGGAAGAAGAGGACGCTGTCTTTGAGCGGAGTGCTGAACAAGAGAGGGCGAACCAAAATGTGTACATCGACAAGTTTTTGAGGAGGGCAAAGCAGTCTGAGGAATTAATCTCTTGCCTGTGGAGCATTGTGTTGTTCCAATCGGTTGTGGAGCTGTGGACCAAACATGCAGATCAGGAGAGATACAAACTTTATGGGGATCTAATATACTTCGCCACTTCACGAGACAGCCACGAGGATCTGGCACTTGCTTGGGTGAATGTGAGGTCGATTTTGACCAAGTTCGTTCTGCGCCGTGCAAGCATGGTTGTTTGGGAGCAGAAGTTAGATTCCCATCTCAAAAAGGCGAATCAGAAGGGCTTCAAGGTACGACTGTTTGTTTGAGGAAAGTCTCTTCTTTAGTGAACAGCAGTAAAGCGCTGTAATCCTGCTTTTGTAGTCTAGTGCTACAAATCAGTTCTCGGAGTGCGCCGCTACGATTGTCTTGTGATATTTTAGTGCTCTAATCCTAATTGTCCCGGTTAGTGCTTACAAATCTGTTCTTGAAGGGCACTGCTAGAAATCATTTCTCAGAGTGCGCTGCTACAATTCTCTGGTGACATTAAAGTGCTCTAATCTTGGTTTTGTAGTCCGATGCTCTTTTGACATTACACTGTTATAATTCTCATTCACATTGTAATGCTATAATCCTCCTTTTGCAGTGTTGTAATTCTCTTTCGCATTATAGTGCTATAATCCTACTTTTAGTGCTATAATCCTACTTTTAGTGTTCTTTTGCAGTCTCTTTCGCATTACAGTGCTTTAATCCTCCTTAAAGTGCTAAAAGTGTTCTTTTGCAGTCTGGTGCTCTCTTTTTAAATTTTAGTGTCAAAAGACTACTTTTGCAGTCCGGTGCTCTTAACTGTTTTTGCAGTCTGGTGCTCTTTTTTCAAATTGTAGTGCTACAAGACTACTTTTGCAGCCCGGTGCTCTTAACTGTTGTCGTTGTACGGTGCTCTCTTTTCAAATTAGAGTGCCAAACGAATACTTTCGCAGTCTGGTGCTCTCTTTTCGAATTGTAGTGCTAAAAGACTACCTTCGCACTCCGTTGCTTTTAACTGTTTTCGCAGTGCGGTGCTCTCTTTTCAAATTAGAGTGTTAAAAGACTTCTTTCGCAGTTTGGTACTCTTTTTTCACATTATAGTGCTATAAGATTGCTTTCGCAGTCTGGTGCTCTCTTTTCCAATTAAAGTGCTACAAGACTACCTTCGCAGTCCGATGCTCTTAACTGTTTTCGCAGTGCGGTGCTCTCTTTTAAAATTATAGTGATATAAGACTATTTTCGCTGTTTGGTGCTCTCTTCTCACATTATAGTGCTATAAGACTACTTTCACTGTCTCGTGCTCACTCCTTGTTTCGCTCAACGTGTTCCTTTGCAGGAATTTTGTAAAACTGTCGCAGAGTCTACCTTTCCGGCACTTCGTCAGGAGGTCCGTGTTTCGAGGAGAGCACAGTCACTTACTGCAGGGCCGTTTGCGTCCCAACCTGCGAAAGGTCGAGTGAGGGTCTCCAAAGGGACTGCTCCCTCAGGGTCAAGGCAGCGGGAAGGTTCACCTTTTCATTCGCCCCAAGCGTGTGTTGGATCCACTGCCGCAGCAGATGCGCGCTCGAGTGCGAAAACGAAGAAGAAAATGCTCGCGCGGAAAACGGTTGCCAAAGATAAGAAGAAAGTGGAGGAGCCAAAGTCTGAAAAGAGGAAAACGGCGGAGAAGAAGTCCGTGAAAGGGAAGGATCAAACAGAAGAAAAGTTGCCAGTGGCGAAGGAGCTTACTCCTAACGACGAGGCTGAGAAACTCTCTCGAATGTGGGAGGAGTTAAAAGAGCTTAATGACAAGAAGCTTGACGCCAACTCGTTCACCCTTCCAGCGTCTTGCCTCCTTCGACCTCCTGCTGATGACAGTGGCAAGAGACCACTGGAGGTTCGCGAGCCCGAGGAGAGGCAGGTCCGGCGGATCGTGGACTCCATGAAGAGGAACCCTTTTGCAGACACTTTGGCTCACATCGGCTTGATTGATCCTTCGCATGCTCGTACGAAGGAAGATGTGGATCTCGGCAAGCTGCTCTCTGGGGGCTACAAAGTTTTCGTGCTCGGTGGTGGACACACAAAGGAGGTCAGAGAACGCCTTAGGAACCTTTACCCGACCGTCTCTGCTTTCCAAAAGGCGAATTGTTTCATTTACGTCGGCCTCACCGTCCAGGAAGCTCGTAAGATCGCGCACGAGCACAACCACATTGCAGGCTTCCACCAGGACTTCAGTTTCATCCAGAAACTGAATTGTGGGCGATCGATTGGCTGCCAAAAGAATGCCGCTACGAAGACTGCATGCTTGCAGGAAATTGGATTTTCAAACCCAGACAAAGATCTTTTGCAGAGGTCGGATCCACATTTCCAGGTCTGCATGCGGTCCAAGGAAGTGTGGGCCCCTCAACTGAAGATATTCGATATGTGGTTGAAAGGGGATTGTCTGGACCAGAAAATGAAGGTCCCTACTGGGAAAAAGGCAAAAATTTATAGTGATGATAGCGAGGCGGGTGGCTCAGAAGGAACTCGGCCGGTAGCGAAGAAAAAATTGAAGAAATTCAATTCTGCTGAAGCCCAACGTCAGGTACTGCGTTTCTTCAATCCTAGAGCGCAGGTGGAGCATGGGAAAATTGTAGTTGAGCCAACTGACATGCCACAGACGCATTGAGTGAAGATGGGTTCTCTCGATGACGAGTCTACTATTCCCATCCTCGAACAGGTGGGCGCAAAGCAACTCTCGATTGATGGTATGCGGAAGAAGTTTGAGGTGGCGAAGGGGTTCGGTCGAGTGGTTAGGTATTTCTTAACAGAAACAAAGTCAGCAGATTGGGCTAGCTGCAAAGAACTTTACCCACTCCACACAACGAAGGATGTTTTGGAGCCCTTCGCCAGTAACTGGAAGCAGAAGGCGGATGTACCTCGAGCTTTGCAACAGCACGTTGCTCGAGCAAAGGCGTGGAAGGAGCTGAATGACAAAAGGGAGGCCGAAAGTCGAAGAACAAGGTCTAAACTCGTCGTCTCAGAAAAAGTTGATACTCACTTCTTGGAGTGGACGGAGGTGAAATATAAAGAACACTGCGGCAACGTGAAAGTCCTGGAAGGCTATATGATGCACTTGAAGAACTAGACAGAGAAGTTGCCTTTCTCTCTGATTATCTGCGACTTCCCATACGGGTTTAATCTGCCAATGTCCTCTGGCGATTGTGTTCCTTTTCCTGAGGAGCACATTGTTCAGGTCCTTGAGAACTATGTTACCGCGCGTTCATTGAACGCGCGTTCCGCGTTCAGTTTTTGAACGCTATGAACGCGAGTTCACTGAACGCCAAGGAGGTATGCAGTGGACCATTGTGGACAATTGCCGGATTCTGCTATCTGGACATGCTACCCTCGGTTCAGCGAGCGTTCAAGATGGTTTGCAATGCAGGAGAGGAGGTGGTCACGTGGTGCAAGCCGAATGTCATGAACACAGGAGGGTCTTGTCTTGTGAGCGCGACAGAGTTTTGTGTCATTGGCTACTACAGCCAAAGTGGTTCTCGAGAGGCAGCTCATTACAATTTTGCCAGCACGGACCCCAGGCACAACTACAGGTTGTTCGATGCAGTCATGAAGAAGTATATTCATCCGACTAACCACGAGGTGTTGTGCCCTTACCAGAAGCCCGTCGCTTTGTACGCGTGGTTGATCGAGAAATTCTCTCCTCCTAGCGCTTATATCATCAATGGTTTTTCCGGGTCCGGAACAGGTGCAATCGCCAGCGTTTTCTGCAACAAGAATTGCCTGTAGGTTGACAAGTGCCCGCGCTGCATCAAGGGAATCCGCGCTCGCATTCTGAACGATATTGGCCCTACGATTGAAAGAGAAAGCAGGCGCGATGAGACCGCAGAGGAGGATAAGACTTACAATTGTGCAGTCGTTGCAGAGCACACAACTGCAGCAACAACGCCGACCTCTGCTGCAGCAGTAGCAAACGCAGCCGAACCAGCAGCAGCAGGACCACCCGCAGCAGAAGCACCACCAGCAGGAGCACCAGCACCACCACCACCACCACCAGCAGCAGCAACAGCAGCAGCAGCAGCAGAACCAGCAGCAGCAGCAGCAGCAGCACCAGCACCAGCAGCAACAGCACCACCAGCAGCAGCAGCGGCAGCAGCAGCAGCAGTAACAGAACCACCCGCAGCAGCAGCAGCAACAGAACCACCCGCAGCGGCAGCAGCAGTAGCAGCAGCAGCGAGCGCACAAGGGGCAGCGAGCGAGCCAGCAACAGCTGGACCAGGCACAGAAGCGCTCGCACAGCGAGAGGCAGCGGGACCTGCACACAGCCAAAACTCCTCACGTGGGACAACTACGAGGTCAAGGAAACCCAAGATCGCCGGTGACGAGGTTACAAGCCCTCGCGCGGAAAAATGTGTTCTTGCATTAGGGGCACGCATAAGGGAGGCTGGCGGAGGCAAAAGTAAGCCAAGACAAATTGCAGTCCTCTTTTGCTCTGAATTGCAGTTTGCAGTCCTGAGAAGTTCCTCCCAGTTATAGGGCTATAATCTTGACGACTGTGCCGAGAGCTTCTGTGTTTTTGCTACCCTTGTACTTTTGTATTGGTGCGTGCCAGCTTGAGCCCTCTTCTTTGTTATAGTCCTATAATGCTGTTTGTGTTGGTGTGGGCCAGCTAGGACTGTCTCTTGTGGTCGCTTCTCGGTTGTACTTTTCTGTTGGTGTGGGCCAGCTTGAGCCCTCAAAGGATTGTCCCTTCCCACCATGAGACACTCGTTTTGTTGTTGCCTTGCTTCCTTCCTACCCTGTTGCCCTCCTCTACTGGGGCACTCTTTTTGCTGTTGCCCTCCCGTACTGGGGCAGACTTTGTAGTGGTGCAGGCTACAGTAGAGGATATTGTAGGTTAGTGTAGAACTTTTCACCACGGCAAGTAGAGCACTGTGTTGTAGTTTAGGGCACAATAGGTGTTAGAGTAGTTGGTTACTAGGGCTGGTACAAAGACCAACGGTGAAGAGAAGTTTCATCTTGCTGTGGTTGTTTGTACACTTTATTGCAGCATCCTTCAATTTTATTCGCTGTGTGATCTCCTTTTCTCTCTGTCTTTGTCTTTCTCTCTTACTTTCTTTCTCTCTCTCTCTGTCTCTTTCTTTCTTTCTCTTCTTCTCGCTCTCTCTAGCTGATTGTTGAGCATGCTTACTCAGCTAGTGCAACGACCAGCGACGAAGATAAATTTTACTGTTGCTGCAATTGTTTTGTAGTGTGCTTCAAGATGCTTCAGCTCTTTTCGCCACGTCTTCTCTCTCTCTCTCTCTCTCTCTCTCTCTCTCTCTCTCTCTCTCTCTCTCTGTGTGTGTGTGTGTGTAAATGAGAAATCACGGCTCCCCTCGCTGGCCTAAATTAAGGAAAATATCAGGAAAATTTATTTTTATTTTTATTTTTGTTTTTTTTAGCGCGGAAAAACCGTCGCCCATTCGTTGCATTTTCCAGTTCTGCCACTCCACTTGTGGCCCAACGGTTAAACGACTACTGTTAAAGACCCAAGGAATGCCTGTCCGCCCCGCCGCCAAAAGCAGGGGTAAAAAAAAAGAAAAAAAACTTTACGAAAACAGTTGTGTAGGGGCCTCAACTCCACTCTCGACTTCCACTCTCGACTGAGCAGTCCTGACATGCCACAATGGTTTCAGTTCTACAATCTCTTAGAGGTTGTCCCGGTTTGTTCCTTGTGCTGAGTGTTCTTGCTGCAGCCCTCAAATGTTATAGTCCTATAACCACTTAGTAGTCCTGACATGCCACAACGGTTTCAGTTCTACAATCTCTGAGAGGCTGTCCCGGTCTGTTCTGAGTGTTTTTGCTGCAGCCCTGAACTGTTATAGTCCTATAACCACTAAGCAGTACTGTTTCTGCTAAGCGGTTTCGGTTCTACAATCGCTGAGAGGTTGTCCAAGTCCTTTGCTTGTTCTGAGTGTTCTTTCTGCAGCCCCGAACTTTTATAGTCCTATAACCACCGAGCAGTACTATTTTTGCTAAGTGATTATAGTTCTGTAATCTCTGAGAGCCTGTCCCGATCTGTTGCTTGTGCTGAGTGTTCTTGCTGCAGCCCTAACTGTTATAGCCCTATAACCACTGAGCAGCCCTGACATGCCACAATGCCCGTTTTTTGGTTCGTGCAGGTTTTCATTGGAGAGCTCGGTGAATACTTGGATCCACGTCTTAAGACCAGGCTTCTTCCGTTCAGGTACCTAGTCGCTGAGCCGACGTCGACACCAAGCCCGTCGAAAACGAAGCCAGGCAAGCGAAGAACGCCTCCTCCAGTTGTAGTCTCCCCGCAGAGGTGTGTCGAGTCCTCGGCAGCTCTGGAGAAAGTTTCTGGTACGAAGCCAAAAGCTCCGAAAAAGAAAGTACTTGCGGAGAAAGTCGCGGCGTCTTCGAAAGGGAAAGGCAAAGCTCCACAAGACGAGCTGGGTACAAAGCCGAAAGCTCCGAAAAAGAAAGTACCTGCGCCGAAAGTCGCGGCGTCTTCGAAAGGGAAAGGCAAAGCTCCGCAAGACGAGCTTCAAGTTCCTTGAGGTCTTGTTCCCGGCGAACTCACCGACGAGCTGACACGGGCCTGGAACAAGCAGGAGAGTCTAAAGGAGAAGAAAATTTCCCAAGAGCCTTTTTACCTGCCCATGTCGTGTCTTCGACGACCGCCAGAGGATGGAACGGAAAACAGGCCACTCGAGATTCGGGAGCCCGAAGAGACCACATTTCCACAATCATGGATTCGATGATTACTTGCCCGACTGGGGATCATCTTCCCTTCGTTGGTATCGTGGATCCGTCGCAAGTGAAAGATAAGAAGGACGTGGATCTGGTCTGGTTGCGCAAGGGTGGCTACACCATATATGTTCTTGGAGGTGGACATTGCCGGGAGGCGAGGGAGCGCCTGCAGAAGATCTACCCTGACAAGGAGGATTACAAATGGAATGTGTGYTATGTCTATGCGGGYCTSACTMCRGAAGAAGCGAGGCAGGTGGGTCACAAATACAATTTGGCAGCTGACTACCACAGAGATTTGAACTTCATCGAGAAGATGAAATGTTGGCGTAACATCTTCGAGAGAATGGGGTCTGTGAAGAACGCTGAGGTGAAGTTGGCCTGCCTGCGGGAGTTCGACGTACCGTGTTCTACCAAGAAGCTGCAGAATAATAACCCGTTGTTGCAGATCGCGATGCGTCCCAAAAAGATCTGGGACCTGCAACTGCGAATTTTTGAGGTGTGGCAGAAGGGGGAGGTCAAGAACCAGAAACTCAAGCCCCTTGCGAAAAGTTAGATCCGCACAGACGTCGCTCCAGAGTCCAGCGAGTCGGAGGGTAGCAAGAAAAAGCGCGGGGCAAGAAAGCTGGACAGGGCTGTCGCAAAGCAGCAAGAGATGGCGTTTTTCAATCCTCGCCTAAAATTGAAGGACAACAAAGTTGTTTCGGCCCCGGCTCACATGCCTGCGCAGCCGTGGATTACGATGGGCAATATCCCACACGACGCTATCATCCCCATCTTGACGGAAGTTGTGTCCAAGCAGATCTCCCTGGAAGAGATGGAGAGGAAGTTCAAGGTCGTGAAGAAGTTCGGCTACGTTGCAAAAACCTTCCGGGATGGTGTCAAATGCAAAGACTTCAAAACCGCAAAGGAGTTGTATCCTTTGCACACCAAGAAGGAGGTTCTCGAGCCATTCATTGGGAGTTTTGAGAGGCGAGGGGAGAAACCCACTGCTTTGCTAAATCACATTGAACGAGCTAAGGAGTGGAGGAAGATGAAGGACAAGAGGATTAAAGATGCACAAAGAGCGAGTCACGATTTCTTTCGAGCGCATTCCCTGGACGACCCTTTTGCGGACGGGACTGACATGAAGTACGAAGGGTGTTCGGGGCAGGTCAAGGTCATTTAAGGCGATATGTTGCATTTGGCACAACTGCAAAAGGACAAGGTGCCGATTTCCCTTTCCATCTTCGATTTGCCCTACGGCTTTGCGCATAAAAAGTTTGTTTTTTATCTACTCGTAAACAAGGAAATTCTGTTTTATATTCAATAAAATCAGAAAAAGAAAGTTCATAAAAAAATACATATATAAATATTAATAAATATTAATAATAAAATTAACAATATAATATAATATATTAATATAGAACACGGAGTCATTCCCAGAGAGTGACATTGTCGCTGTGCTCCAGAATGTCAAGGAGGTTTCGAGTGCATCGCTCTGGACAGTCGCTGCTTTCTGCTCTGTGGACATGTTATCCTCAGTGAGGTTCGCGTTTCTGAAAATATGCAATCCTGGTCAAAAGCTTGTCACGTGGTGCAAGCCGAACACGACGAATCCCGGTGGCCCGAGACTTGTCAGCGCGACGGAGTTCTGCGTTCCGGGGAACTACAATGTGACAGACCAACGTGAGATGATGCATGACAACTTCGCTCCCACCGATCCCCGCCACAACTTCCAACTTTTTGATGAGGTCACGCGAAAGTTTGTGCACCCGGCTGATGGCAAGGTGCTTTGTTCGTACCAGAAACCTTATGCATTGTATTCCTGGTTGGTCACAAAGTTCTCTCTACCAGGCGCCACCGTTTTGGATGGCTTTTCGGGCTCGGGTACGGGGCCCATTGCTTGCGTGATGGCGAACAGGAACTGTCTTGTTGTGGAGTTGGACAAGCGGTGTGCGAAGGGAATCTGCATGAGGCTGCTCACTGACCTCGAAGGGACGTTGCAGAGAGAAAAGCCGAAAGAGGGGAAGGGCAAGTCAAAGGAACAGCACCCTGATGCGGACGTTGAGGTGTCTGGGGATCACGGCCTCGAGGAGGAAGAGCAACATGTTGAGGAAGCCACGGCGAGGGAGGCTTCCGGCCAGGAGATGACGCAGGAGACATGGGAGCCCATGCCGGGATTGATTGCAACCGAAGGCAATCTACCGGTAGGCTCTGACCAGCGTAAGGAACCGCCGGTGGCAGTACCTCCAGAGGAGCAGCTGGCACAAAGCCAGGACTCAAGTCAAGCCACAGGGGTAGAAACACGAGGTCGTAAGAGAAAGATCAGAGGATAGGAGGCTGTCAGTTCCTTGTGATGGGTCTGCGCAACAATGCTCGGCCGCGTGTGCGAAAATAAGCAAGGGCGCATATAGTTCTATAACTTGTTTTTGTTATAGAACTATATTTGAGACCGGGGACTGCTGTTGTTGTCGTCGTCGCGTGTTTCTGTTATAGAACTATATTTGAAACCAGGAACGTTGTTGTTGTCCTCGTCGCATATTGTAGTCCTATATCGCTTCTTAGTCTACACCCTCTGCGAAAGACTTCTATATCTGAGACCGGGGACTGTGCGCACTTTTGTTTCATCCTTAGTCCTGGATCCACAGACGCTTGGATCAAGCCGTTTTTCCACTATTGTAGGGATGCAGTCCTGTGTTCACTTTTGATGTGATGTAGTCCTCTACCCGCTTTTGCTGTGACGTGGTCCTGGATCCACTAATGTACTAGTACTGGTTCTTGTCCTTTTAGCACTTTTAGCACTTTTACCCGCCAGTGGTCATTGTACTCCTGTTTTTATGGCGAACATTTCTCTTTTTCATTTCTTTTTTTTTCTCTTTTTTTTTTTTTTTTTTTTTTTTTTT